TACCTAAATATGTAAATGTTTACTCTGCACAGGGCTTTATGCTATGTGTATTCGGCATTCACAACACATTGTGAGGTAGATACTACACTAGTCCATCTACACTAGTCCATTTAAAGACTAGGACATTGGGGTCACAGAGTCAGGATCCCAATTCTCAGCTTTACTGCTCTTTTGCCAGGGCAAGATCATTTCATCTACTTTTATTTATTTGTTGTGCTCCCTCTCCCCGGCATCCACTCTCTTTCTTGCTTGGATGGCTGTATTAAAGTTCAGAGAAATATAATTTTTGTCAAACAATGGTTAACTACAATATTACAGAAGAGGATAAAGATGATATCATGGGTAAGGGTGGATGGAGGGATGAATAAAATGCTTCAAGATGTTCAGACTTGGGAAAGCAGATGAAGAGATTTTTTGAAAGGGGAAGGCCTTGGGATTGCAGGAATCACAGGTTTTGAGAAGCACAAAGAAACTACAAAGCACAAGCACCCCTCTAAACCTCAGATCCAGAGAAGAAGGGAGCTAAGGCATTCTAGAGATCTCTACCATCACTATTCCACTTCTAAAACCTATTTCTATGACAAACATGGCCTCAGAGGCCATGAGGAAGACATTGGGCTCCACAGTGCATAGAGCTACTTGGGCCTCTTTTTAATCATGCTTGAGGAAGCATTACCCAAGAGATTTTGGGGTACAGTGAGTGAAACTGTCATGCAAGACATTGTGTCACATCTTTTTGACATTTGCCACCAAAGCCAAACTAGTATTTCTGCAGTAGGCAAAAGTTAAAACAGTATTTCATAAGCCCATTAGTTTGACATGGCTTGAACTGAGAATTTGTCAATTTTCAGTTCAGATTCAGTAGTTTTTGAAAACTATATATGCTGGTGACTTCTGAGGGGTCCTATATAACTAAGACCCCCTTATACTGTTCATCTGTCTAATATGGCTTCTAAGAATCATTATTGAGCCAGAACACATAAAGCACACTCATGGCCCATACTTGTATCAAGAATCCAGAAACGCTGTCTCTATGCCTGCCCTTCTTAGGCAAGTAATCCTTTCTCTGGTCTTAGGGCTTACATCTTTATAATAGAATTTATAACAGAATAAATGGTTCACTTGGGTTACGAGTTCAAATGTATTTGGTTCTTGTTTGTTTGTTTGTTTGTTTGTTTGTTTATTTTTAGAATGCCAAGAACTTATGGCCAATACTTACAGACTTCCTACTTTTAGGTGCTAACAACACTCTGATTTGCATCAATGATCAAAAAAGCTTCACTTCAGAGTAAAAGACTGGCCAAAGACAGTCCTTAAACATTCCTCCATGGGGCCAGTGCCTGACCAGGGAGCTTTTGACCCAGTTATGTTTGTGTGCTTTGAGGCATCAGGACAAGACAATAATGAAAGACATTTCTTCCTGATTAAAAATGAGTTAGTAGGACAAATAATTCCCCTTCATGCTCTGTTACTACTTCCCTGTGCATGACACTTAAAAATAAATCTATAAATGAAGCCTATATGGAAGTAGGGGAAGCAATTCCCGCTGCCATAGTTCTGGCTTTATAAGTCTGATTTATAACCATATGTGAAAATAATCCCTTTAATACTTAGATTACTTTTAATATTTAGATTACTTTTAATACTTAGATTACTACAAGCAGGGTTTGAAGGACTGATGGCCAAAGGCAATCTTCACTGACCCAGCTTCCAAACTTTCTTTTCTAATGAAACCTCCTGCAAAATCCCAACAAACAATAAATTAATGCATCTGGGCTCCATCAGAACAAAGTGTTCCAAAACTATTCCTTTCCAGATGTCTACGGCAGTTCTATAAAGTCAGACCTGTCAGGAACACCATCTCTCAGTAGTGTCTTCTGGCAAATATACAATTCCCTGGCTTTGGGACTATGGATTCTCAAGCTTAGATCAGTACTGCCCCTATTGGAACATCCTCTTGTTCAATAAACCCTCAGTCATAGTCCTGCCTTTGGACTTCACCCTCTGATTGATATCACCCTAATTCTTGGTGATCTAGCACCAGATTAATGTCATGGTGGTTCTTGGCTTTCATAGTTGTGAGCTAATTTCCCTAATAAATATATCAATTGTCTGTCTATCATCATTTCATCTATCTGTAATCCTATCAATCATTGTCTATCAATTCTAACCATTTGTCCCCTTAACTACTCCTTCTATATACCTATCATCTATCTATTCTTCCAACTACTTATCATCTCCCTCTCCAATTGTCTCTGAATCTAGCTACCAACTTACTTACCTACCATCTCTCTACCCATCTCTCCTGTATGTCTCTGTTGATCATTTACCTACATGTTCTATCTTTTTACCTATCCCTTCTATTTATTAATGTTCTATCTGTGTTATCATCTGTCATGAATCTATTCTATCAATCACCTATCCCCTTTCTCCATCTGTGTGTTTCTGTAGCAAACTACATACCTATCATTTCTCTGTGCATGTCTAATTTATCATCTATCTACCTAATTATATTATAATCTATTTTCTATTCTTTTTCTTTCCCTATCACCCATGTTTTTGTCACCTGTTTCCTATCTACCCTTTATCAATCTTCTATCAGTCCTGTATCTCTACAGAGAAAAAAAAGAAATTTTTTCTCATTTAAAAAACAAAACAAAGCATATGTATCATGGACTTTTTCTTTCAAAACTTTGTTTTAATAAAGTAGGTCTAGCAGAGCCTGGAATAGCTTCATCCCAGTAGTGACTTGTTCATATCCACCTGGTCCCTTCATTCAATGCTCCTGCAGGAATAGCTCTGCAAGGAATAAATATGGGCTAAAATAAGGCCCCAAGAGCCTGCTCTCTCCTGCTTAGGAAATCTGAGCTCTCTGGGTAGTGTTATTCTTACAAGATGTGCTTTCTGATTACTTCCAGAAGGCACCGCAGGGCAGGCTGACCATAAGGTCTACCCTTATAGGGAAGGTAAACCAGCCTAGTGCACTGAGGTCATGATTTACCTGCATGTGAAGCCAAGCAGAGCAGTGTATGAAGGAGTCTAAGAAGTGTGCTAATTTCCTGTGCAAAGATCTCCCCTCCCTCTATACTCCATGCTCATTTTGCCAAGCTCTGTATGGGATCCACCTCTGCTCCAGATTTCTTCTCTATCTTCTTCCTCTCCACACCCCTTTCAAATATCAAGAGAGTTTGAGTTTCCCTCTTTCAAAACAATAAACTGTAGAGTTTCTTCCCAGTTTGGGCACTGCTCCACACAATCCTGCAACCTGGAGTTGCTATGTCATGCCTCTTTCTGCAGAAGCTTGACACAAACTAAATTTAGAGGGGATGACATTCCAGATCACTCCCTGTCTCTGTTCCTGGCAATGGGTCCTTGGCTGTGGTTCATGTCAGCTCCTAATCTGCCTGGGCATTAGAAAAGAGAGCTGTAGTCCAGCTTGACTTCAAACTGCCCTCCCTAGGCCTGTAGGGAGTCCTGAAGTTCTTTAAGCTGCTCCACCCTGCCCTACCCCATCCAACTCTACCCCTCCTGACACAAAACTGATATTAACAAGGAAAACAGGTGTGAGTCATTGCTCAAGACTGAGAAAGCCAGCTGTCAGTCACATAAGGATTTTGTCCTCCCATAACTAAACTATGGGGGAAAGAAAGTACTAGCTAACAATCTGAAAACTTTACTACCAGAATGACCTGCGTACCCATCTTAGGATGGGGAAACTAAATGGTAGATGCATCCCAGCATCTACCATTTATTCAGCCCCCACTTCATTGAGTACTGACAAGCTGCCTGTTAGGGGGTTCAGGATTCTGAATTAAACTCATCCCATTTTCCAAGGGAACCACTCAAGAGATCTAGCAGCTCTTTGCTAAGGAACTAGTAAGCAAGGACTCCACCCTTTCACCAATTTTCCCCAAGCAGGCTTTGCCCAGGTTCTCTCTGGAGAGCATTTCTGTGGCCATGAACTATGTTGCAAGGACCCCTACAGCAGGATGGATGAGCTTTAGTCCAGACTTATCTTAAAGACAGTGGCACTGTGGCTCTTGTCTTCTAAATACAGACACAGAAAGGAGTAACACCAAAGTCCTAGGAGGGCTATTACATGTATTACAATACAATGTATATGTATGAAAGAGAATTAAAATGGAAGAGGAAAGCCTAGGTCCCCTCCCCATCTCCCCATGCTAAAATTATTCATTATGTTTAATGCACTATTTTTAGTTAGGTGAAAATAAAATGAAGTAGTCAATAAAACACTCACACCGTTTGTGTCTATTTTTAGCAATGATTTGAAAATATACTGTTTTCTGCTACAGCTCTATTATCTGTTTTACAAGTATTTATTACCTGCAGGTTATTTCTGCCACTGAGTAAGAGGGGAATCGCTTACCAGAACATAATAACAGCCCGGCACATGTTAGGTAAATATATTACTGTCGTTCATATCTCATATAAGAAAGCCAAAATCATATATACAAATAAAAGACATCAGAAACCTTACACACATATCTGTTCCTACCAAAAACAGAAAACAAAATGCATTCCAAAATAAAAACTTCAAACTCTGTCTGATTCCCTCCAAAAGCAGAGCACTCGTTCACCCCGTCTTAAAACCTTTGAAGCATTAAGAACAGGAGCATTTCCATCAGAGATTTCTGTACTGTCAATGAAGTGCCCCATGAAGCAGAAAGGGAAACTTCCAGACCGCCAGAACAGAGTGACAACAGGAGGAATCCACACACTTTCCCTTTCCCAGTGGTGTTAGCTGTGAGTCCTAACTTTCAAAAGTGCCTGGACACTGTTGAAACTCAGTCCTCAAGTGCCTTTTGGGGGCAAACAAAGATGAGAACCACCAATCCCCTGTGATGGGCTGAAATGTGTTAATTAACACATACACACGCGACCCCCCCCATCCCGCTCCCCCCCCCCCCCCCCCAGTGTTTGTGAACAAACGCCAGACAAGGTAGCTAGTCTGGAAGGGCAAGAACTGCAAGATCCCCTACCTCTCCTCTGTTTCACAGAGTGGCGGATGAGAGTCCCCCGTGGTCCTGGGGAAAGCTGAGAGGCTCTGAAGGAGGTGGCCACTCAGCCCGCCCATGTGAGGAGGCCCTGCCTGCACTCAGGAGCTGCCCCAGTCAGATTTTCCAGCCGCACAACTGCAGCCAAGTCCCTGCCCATGCCTGAAGAATTTCCTGAACAGCATTCCCGGTCTTTCACTGCTTGCTTTGAAACCCTACTCTGCCTCTGCTTCGATCTGGTTTTGTCAAGCCCAGCTACTGGGCTGTCTCCAGATATCAATGGGAAACACGTGTGTGAGAACACAGCCTTGCTTCCTTGCAACTGTGCTCATGGCGTCTGCTGGGCTCACACTCACAGAAAGAAAGAAGGCTGTTTCTCAAAACGACTTGGATTTCCCAGCCATTCTCCACACAGGCTTTGCTCTGGGTACTAGATGCAATATACAAGCCACGTGTTTTTTTTTTTTTTTTTTCTTGTTTGTTTGTTTTTGTTTTGTTTTATTTTCTCGCAGTTTAATGATGTCTCTCTGTACCTTGCCTGTTCCACGTGGAATCCCACTGCCACGGGATTAGCCCTCCGTGCTCGGCTCTCCCTGGTCTTGATAATAAACTGACCGCAGCTGAGAGATACGAATTCTAATGCCATCTCCCTCTCTGGTTCTTCCTAACTTTTTCTTAAAATTTCAGTGGCTGGGGAAAGCAATATTTTTAGCATTTCCAGTTCCGTTTTTCCAAGTTGTCCTCTCCACCTGATTTGTGGTACATTCTGCAGCAACTAAAAATAGTACAATTATTTTTCTCAGGACTTTGGATACCTTTCGCTCTAAAGCTGTACAGGTTAGATGTACACTGACTATAACATTTTACATGCTGCGACAACTGTGTTAAGGTGACAGGAACGAGGAAGAACCTGGGACCAGAATGCATACCACATTGGTACAGCTGTAATTTTCGTTTTCCTAGGTGGCATTCCCTCAAGATGTTCTGGGTACCTCCTGCATTCTGTGGTCTACCTTTGGCATTTTCTCTTTGCTATCATAAAACAGTAGAAAAATCTTAAAAGACAGGAGCTTCTAAATGGAAGCTACCTATATCTAATAAGCCAAAGTAAAGCTTTCAAGTTAATATTGCACAAAACAAGTTAAAGAGGAGCATTTGGTATGAGACTTTTGTTTGTTTGTTTGTTGTTGTTCTTTGTTTCTTCTCCTCCTTCTGCCTTCCTCCTCCCCCCCCTTTTTCTTTTCCTGCTCCTCCTTCATCTTGGCATTAACATAAACCACATGTATTAGCAAAATTTTCCTTTTCTCTCTCTCATTCCTTCCCTCCCTCCTTCCTTTGTTTGTCTTCCCATTTTCTTGCCAAATTTTACAACTCTTTGTATTACCAGAAGGTGCTGCTGTAAATATTAGGATTCACTGAGATCAAGGCTTAGCATCAAATGATGATGGTGTGGTGTGTATTCAGGCATATGTGGCCAGAGACACCCATACAACCGAGGAACAGTAATTATAAAGCCAGAGAATTTAGTGCCTGTCCAATACAAATAGGCCCAAACCTTCATCTTACACAAAGAAATCCAAGCCTAGGGAGATGAAATGATTCACCCAGAGTTGTAAAGACAGTTAATGCTACAGCTCATGCCGGAGAAGGCCTTTTGGGGACCTGTTCTGTGTGCTGTCTATAATGTAATATATTCTGGGAAGGTGATATCACCCAGCTTTCAAGGAGCAGCCTTCAATCAGATCCGGGCAGAAGTTTTCCCTCTCCTCTAATTAGCTGTCCCAGCTGTAGGCTCTGGTTAACTCCTTTAATCTCTCTGGGCCTTGGTTTCAGCTGTGAATTAAGAGTAATAATTGGATCTATTTTGTAGAAATGGTTACTGATTCATTGAGGGAATTTATATGATGCATTTACAATAGTGCATGTAAACCATTTAAGTTTCTTTGTTGTTTTAGTGGAACAAAACCCAAATCCTTTCTTTTTTCGGAATTGTGTCCCTAGATATTTTGTGCTTTTTAATAAAGGAATATCAATTCTAACACGGGAATATAGTTGGAGCAATAAACCAGTCATCTGGCTACTTTCCATTTATTCACAAACAGAGCACTGGAGTCTTTCCTCCCAGTTAACTCTTCGGAAAGGCAAACAGTGGAATCAAACCAGCTGTGAGTCACACGAGGCAAGCCAAGTACCATTCAGAGAATTAGGTGTCCCCTCAGCACTAAGACTCAGAAGAGTAGTTCTATAAAGAGAAGGTCATTGGTAGTTACAATGCCCATGTTCAGAAATAGTTACATCCACAAAGACCAGCAACAATGTGAAATCCCCATGCTGAGAAAGAAATCATTCAGAGAAAACAGCTACTACAAATCTTAAAGAATTGGACATCTATTTGTCAGTTTTTACTCCCTTTGTCTTAGAGTCGGTGGCACCCAGTGCTTAATGAAGCTTCCTTCACTTCCCCTCCAAGAAAACAAAAGAGTTCAAGCAGTTATTAAATTTGAGTGGTTTACAAATGTTTCAGTTATTAAAGACAGGACAACTCACTAGGAAAACAAGCTCACAAAGTTTTATTTTCTTAATTTTTATGTGTTGAGTTTTATGTATGATAATACAGAGTGGTGTGCCCATTATAGCATCCAATAAATGCTCAAATAACCTAAGTGCAGCTAGTGTATAATACTAGTGTTTGGCTCGCAAAGGACGGTGGGGCTCATCCCTCATTCTCCTTCTCTTGCAAAGTTTCATCTGCATCAGTCAGTTCTTGAATTGCCTTTGATTACAGCAGAGAACAGTCATTCCAATTAGCCAAAAGACACAGAGAAACAGTGTCCTAAATCAACTGTAAGTCCACATGCAGTCCTGAAATCATGACAAGAGTGAGGAGGATGTTCTCAAGACTCTTCCTTCTATTCCCCTAGACTTCTCTTCATTGGAGTGTCATTTTTTATTCTCTCTGCTGAGCAGCAAAGCATTCCAAGCTGCTTCTCTGTCACTGAGAAAAATCCCAAGTCTCTTCCCAAATGGGGCTCTACTCCACAAGGTCCATCTTGATCCACATGATTACTGCAGAACATGTTTCTGATCACAAGAATAGGGTCATCATTTCAGCTGTATCTGTCACACATGATACCCTGGCAGGCTAAGGGAAGGGAATCAGCACCATCAATGCCACGTACATTGACTAGAATTAGCAAGAGATTCAGAAAAAGTAGAAGGTACAATAAAGTGCTAGGCAAGGTCTGGGGAAGTGCTCTTCCTGTGGAAGCATGGAGTCCTTAGTTCAAATCCCTACAGTCTAGGTAATAAATCAGGCATGGTCCCCATGTGTTTGTTATCCTAATGCTTGGAGTTGGGTAGAGTGATCTCTAGGGCTTGTTGGCAGCCAGCTTAGCTTCAGATTCAGCTAGACACTCTGTCTTAAATGGAAGTAAGGGTGAATGATAGAGAAGGACAATGCATAACACCTTCCTATAGCCTCTGAACCCATAGATTCCAACACACACACACACACACACACACACACACACACACACACACACACCACATGTAATCAACTATGAAAGTTCTAAGAGAATAACAATATACTTCAACATCTTTTCTGCGAAAAGCCCTCTTGGAATGGTATGAGGCAATACTATTTTATCATGTTCAAGCCAAAAACAATTGAATTCAACTTAATTAAATGAGTATCAGATTACTGAGGGGGTATTCTGATCTGATGCTCTCTTTCATTTGAGGGTTCATTTCCCAGTGAGGTGGCAACCCTGTTTGGATCTTCAGAATAGACTGAAAATACAGGGCCACTTTCCAACAGCCAAAGGCAAAGTAATCAACTGACTTTGAAGAGAAATTTTTGTGTAACAATTTGGGCATACTCATGGTTGAGTGACAGATGAATGACCCAAAATCCTGTGAGAATATCTTCATTGGCAAGACATAATGTCTAAGGTGGAGCCACTTCCAGTTTTGAAAATTCAGCTGTACACATGGTATACAGGAAAGGTTTCTCAGGAGCAGTCATAACCTTGAGAAGAAATTGGTACATGTGTGAATAGAAACACCCTTCTGAAAGCAATTAATGTAACAGCATGGAGAAAGTGCTTCTACACTAGAACAGTCAGCCCATACATTTTTTCCTTTTCACTATAAAAACACTTGTCAATTCTTTGAAATTTCTTTCTGGTCCATAATCTCTCCTAATGTTATAGCTTACTGAAAGTAAACTCTTGAAATACTATATTTTTTATTTAAAAATAAAATTTATTGATCAATAAAAGTGGTTCAGACTCCATGACAGCCAGAAATGAGAAAGAGCCATGTTTGAAAAAAAAATTCCACAACATCCCTTGTCTTTATTTGTACAATATCAGTAGTGCTTGGAACAAAACCCAACTGTTGAACATAGGAATTCCAAGTGCAATATAAATCACAGGAAAAACAAATGTATTAACTAAGAGCCATGCCTTAGAAACTTAGCTCCTGGATCTGGGAATTGGCTCAGTAAATAAAGCACTTGCTATGCAAGCCTGAAGAACTAAGTTCAGATCCCACTACCCATGTAAAAACAGGTCATGTCTGTGTTTGCCCATAACTGCAGTTCTTAGAGGAACAGCAGAAGAGGCAGACAGGTGGATCCTGATGGCTCATTGGCCAGGCATTGGTCAGACATCTAGTTGAATGTTGAGTTGGTAAAAATTCAGTGAGAGACCCTACCTCAAAAAATAAAGAGAAGTGATTGAGAGAGACATCCCAATATTAACCTCTGGCCCCTTCATGGTCAAATATGCCCTCCCACATGAGCATACACACACACACACACACACACACACACACACAAAACATGCTGAGTCCATGTGGTGTTGTACATATGGGCTTGTGTTTCAGGCTGGTTACTTGGCAGTGGATGATCTATCAGGATGTTCACACCTAGAGAGCACTGGTTCTTTTATCCCAGAAGCTCCTTATAGCTCTTCATCAGTAGTAGGACCTTGTGATATCTCTCTCATTCGTGATGACATGTCAACTAGCCCTTCAACTAGTGAATGTGTAAGGAAAATGGAATTCTGTTTAGCTGTAAAGAAAACAAACTCATAAAATTTACAATTAAAATGGTAGAACTAGAAAATACTATAGTGAATGAGGTAACCCAGATCCAGAAAGACAAATCACTGTGTATTTCAAAACCTTTTATGGTCACTAGATACATGACAGAAACCACACTGGGCAAACTCATAACTCACAATGAGTTTGAGATTAAATAGTTGTTGCA